CTCTCTCTCTCTCTCTCTCTCTCTCTCTCTCTCTCTCTCTCTCTCTCTCTCAATTCTTCTCCTATTTTTTGTCTCTCTCTCTCTCTCTCTCTCTCTCTCTCTCTCTCTTTCTCTCTCTCTTTGTCTATCTCTATCTATCTCTTTTTCCTTGTCTCTCAACGTCTCTTTCGCTATTCATTCCTCTTTAACGCACTCTCTTTTCATATCAATACTTCGCTCTGAACTTTGTGTTTGTAATTAGGAGTTTCTAATGCTACCCACCGTTTTATCTGATTCCTATCAAAGATGAGCGATATAATCCGACGTCTTACCTCTTAAACAATATTAAACATTCATACTCTTTACTACTAAACATCTTTATAAGACTTAAACCTCTGCCAATCACCATTGATTACTCCCCTCCCCCACTTTCTTTTTCCTCTCCCCTTTCAGCACGCATTCGCCGACCGGGCGATAGAGATCATCCAGAGACACGACCCCGACACACCCCTGTTCCTCTACCTACCTTTCCAGGCTCCACACTCACCTATAACGGTAAGAAAACTCACAGATAATAATTATGTGGGGCATCGTGGTGAAATCAGGAGCTCGACAAAATAAAGAAATTGAAGGAAACGGCAGTATTCATAATGTCATCAGAATTTGGACAACGAACCTATGAACAAAATACATGAAAAGATAAATTTCACATTTATTGAATTCCCACCCCCTGGTCTCTACCCGGGACGTTTTAGTTTTAGTAGAGGTTTAAAGGCGCTCGCAACTGCATAAGGTCACATGACCGCCAGAAGATTAGAGGTGTTACAAGAGAGTAACAAACATAAAAAAGAAGGGGGGGAGATAAGGATGATAGATGTTTCATAGGAAAGAAAAAGCAAACCACACCAGAGCCCACGCCAACCACCCACTCTCCTGGACGATTTTGTATACCATAGTAAACTCGCACAAAAAAGTCACGTAACAAAAATTCAAAGAAAGATTGCTGAAAAACAGTTCAACCGAATGTATTCCTTTTTTCCAAAAAGATGCTTTCGACTCTCTAGATTAAGTATGTACAAATGCAGTTTTCAACAACAAAGAGAAGTTCACGTAAAATGAGTTTAAATCATACTGGTCGGATTTCAAAAGTCTGAACAGCCATGGCTCTTCATGAACGTTGTTAATAGAGGGTGTGGCCATCCCATTTGACCACACACTCAGTAAAACATCGACGCTTGGACCGGGCATGCCTTCGGAGACCTTGTTGCCGTAGATTCTTCCAATCCTGGACGAAGTGGCCCAAGAGTTGTTAAAGTTTTTGTACAGGAGGGTGGTTGTCCCCTATACGCCAGTCAGTGTGATCTCAAATGGCCCAATCGGTTGCAGGAGAGGAAGAGCAAGGGGACGAAAGATTTCGTTCCTGTACCTTGCAGAGATCGAAATGCCCTGTATGCTACAGGGGGGTCCTGTGGTGATCTCAGAAACCTCTCCACACCAGAGCGGACCCTCCACCATAGGGCGCCCCCTGTTGGATGCACTCAGGGTGGAATCATTCTCCTCGGCGTCTCCAGACGTGGGATCGCATGTCTGGGTGCAGCAGGTTGAATCTGGATTCGTCCGAGAAGACTACCTGGTCTCATTGACATTGTGTCCACTGTGAATGGCGAGCACACTCCACCCAGCGAGCTGCTTTTTGGGGCGGTGTGTGCCTTTGGTGCATAGCGGGAACACGAGAAGCGAACCTGGCTCAACGAAGACGGTTCCTCGCGGTTTCTTCGCTCACGTGGACATTGGCTGTCACCCGTAGTTGGCCCCTGATGCAGTTTGCAGTGGTGGTTTGTGACGTCACGGCCTGTCTGACAATGAGCCGGTCGACCCTGTCGTTGGCCAAACGGGGCCGCTCTGGTCGAGGCCTGTCCTGGACCGTTCCGGTCGTTCGCCATCGGTCTTGCAGCCTCCTCATGACTGAGGGGGACACCTCAAGTCGACATGCAATGACTCGGAACGGGGAACCATCTTGGAGTCAGGCACGGGCTCGTCCTCTGTCGACGTCAGACAACGAGCATCGTTTAACCATTGTATTGTAATGAAACATGACTGAAAAAAGCTGGCTTATAAAGAGTTGCAAGTGAGCGATATACACAGCTAAGACATGTGTATAGCACGTGTAAAGCTCAGTTTTAGCCACCATTCCCAATGCCAATAGTCCTGAGGCAGAGGAATTTCGCCCATTGTTTAATGCTTTTCTGCTGTGGTTCGGCAAACCCTGAGCCGTCGCTGTGAAGGTCGTGCGGACAAATTTACTGTACACGAAAACTGTGTCTTGTCGTCAGTCCGTGAGCCAAGTTTGGTTGACTAAGCCTAACGGGATTGCTAGATATTGAAGTCTTAACTTGACAGGTGAAAACACAAGTTGTTCCTTGACTTTTTTGTGCGAATTTATGTACAGGTATGAATACAGAGAGATGACAAAAATATATACATACAATAACATCAGTGTTTCTAAATCCACATAACA